AGAGAGAGAGAGAGAGAGAGAGAGAGAGAGAGAGAGAGAGAGAGAGAAAGGCCCACCTCATCTGTGCCCTTCAGCCTTCCCCACCTGTAACAGTAATGGGACTATGAACTGACTAGGGAGGGGGTTAAGAAAAGGAAACAGGCTTGTGGGTGATAAATCCAGTCTGATTTATATCTCTCAGGAAAGAGAAAAACAAATGAAGAAGAAAGAAAATATGAAGAAAAGTAAAATAGAACAAACATGCCTATATTTAAACATGTACCACTGCAGTCAACATAGTATATGTAAGACAGTGAGCAGGTGCTTTGGAGCTGCTAAAGACCCCCCCCTTCAGCTCCTCCTAACCAGTGCCAGACCTAATATGGAATATATATATATTCATCTACTAAATGTGCCTTATGTAAAACAATGTCCAATTACTAGAAATCATTAAACAAGTATTTTAGATTAACATAGGACTTGAAGCCTACTAGCAGATTTATAAGATCTTGAATGAGTCTTGAAAGATTTACCAGGTTATTGGGAGTCCCAGTGAAAATAATTAAGGAATAATATGATTAAACATATTACTCATACATCTTCATCAGCAAATATTAAAAAAAAGTCAGTCAGCCTTTCAGGCCTGGCCAGTCCTGTGCACTGTCTAATTTAACTGTGTTTGTGAATCACTTAGCAATTACCAAATTATTTTAATTTTCTAATATGTTCATGCTTTAAGGCTCGTTCACAAAGGAGACTATTCAGAATTATCTCTCCAAATTAATTTTATTAATCTCAACAGAGGCCGGTATTGGGAAATAACCTAGTTTCAAATCTATCAGCTAGTCTCAGGTTCTGTGGTCTTCTGTTCAAAGATTCACTGTTGTTTTGGGGGAGCTCACAATGATAGCATCCTCCAATATGAAATATTGGAAAGAATCTATTGACTTCCTCTTAGGGAATTAAAGCAAACATATGGTGAGAAGCCCCAGAAAGACCTTAAGAAGTAAAGCATCTGCAACAACTGGTGTCATTACTTACCACTTCTCATCAAGAAAACAGTGACCTAGATATTTCTTCTCATGAGTTTCCCATCAGAGATTTTATAAACTTTAGTGTATTTGCTGTAATAAAAGAGTGAATATTATATTTCTTCTAAAGTTTATTTCTTACGTGAAAAACAAACAATCCTGGAAAATCACTGGTTAATAAGTATCAGTAAAGCGTTTGCTACCAAGTCTTTGCCTATTGAAAGTTTAATAGTGATTTTGTCATCTCTGTAGTCTGTTCACCAGTCTAGTGATGGCCAAATTATTTCATGATATACTCTAAACTCTCCAAGACTCAGCAATAATATAAATGATACCAAGTCTCAAAATTAACCAAGAAATAAAAATCTCAAATTTATCATAAAAATCCATGTCTTGGGGATGCAGAGATAGATGGCTTTGCAGTTAAGAGTACTTGCTTCCTTTGCAAAGGAATTGGATTCAGTTCCCAGAACCTACATGTCAGCTTCCAGCCTTCAGTAACTCCCCTTTCAAAAAATCCAGCTCTCTGGCTTCTGTTGGCTCCAGTAACACACATAGTGTACAAGAGTACATACACTGGCAAAACACTGAAACACATACAATAATAGCAAATATTCAAAACAAAATCTCCCATCTTTTCAACAGTTACATGCAGGATATTGTAGATATAACGAGATGAGTTAATATTGTGCATCATTTTAGTATTTATCAAATTTGCCTTTGGGAGATAATTTGAAAAAAACCCTTTTATATGTCATGGATCTAGCTTTAAAGCATAGAAACACCACATAATTAAAATAAAGAGGCAGCTGCTGAGTATTTCACAGAGTAGAGATCAAGTATGACTTGACTCTAAGGCGCTGACCAACATGAAGCATTGCAGTATGGATATACTGCTAGTGCAGCAGACCTCTGTACAGTGATCAGTACAAATTCCTTTTATTCTTTCAGTGAGAGTCAACTCACTATTTTCTGAATCCTCATTTGATGTGTGGCTCACTATCATGTAGTGACATCACCTATAGATGTCCATATTTCTTGTGTTTGGAGATTCATGAGAATTGACTAAGAAGGATGTTAAAGAGTTAGACAGTTGCACTGTGTGACTAAAGAAGTAGAATTTTCATTCTGCAGAGGTTTATCTAATGGAAATAGGTCAAATACTTTACAAACAGCATGGGTGGGATTTTTTTTGGCATGTCCATATTCATAGACATGTTCCAAATATTTCCATTCCTCAAACTTTAGATTATGAATCTATCAGGGGCATCCCTGCTTATACACTGAAGGCCTAAAAACAGCCATAGCCCTAAAAATCAGCAATAGGCCTGACATACATGCCTGCTAACACAAAGTCTTGGGTCTCTGTGGGAAAACACTGAAACAGATGATTAGAAGCTATTGTAAACAAGCAGCTTTGGTGGAAAATTGCCAGGCTGAATAGTTATAGACCTGGATGGATATTACCAA